GGGGGGGGGGCGGGGGGGGGGGTTTCTCTCCTTGGAGAAATTGCATGTATAAAATCACCTTCCCAACTTACCTAAGTGGTCGAATTGGTATTTTGGTGAAGTAGGGTGAGTTGAGGATCTAGTTGACCATTCTCTTTGATGCTAAATAGACACCATTCTCTTTGATGCTAAATAGACATTCTTTATATTTTATGAGTAAATAGAAGGCCATTCTGACTAACTAGTATAAACATGGCCATTCTTCAATTTGGCCCTAAAAGGAGAGACTTTTTAAAATTGCTACACTTTCTTATGTGACTGGTGATAAATTCATGTTTTGAATGTAAGGCTCTATCCAACGTGTGTTTGAAACTCTATTGATCAAATTGGAAAGTCAAAATTGAAAATCTGGGACTGGTCAAATACTTCACAAACAATGACCCTTCTGTGATGCTCGACCATGCGATTTAGAATGAGAGACAAATATCATTTCCTTCAAATATTATCAAATACCTTGAATGTTTGTAAATGTGCAAATAAACAAAAGACAAGAAAAATTAGAATTTCTACAATTCGTTATCTCTCTCTCTCTCTCTCTATATATATATATAGATATAGATAGATAGATAGATACCGTTAAGATAGACTTGCTTTCCTTTTCCGTCTGTTCCAAATTATAGGTAACTTTCTTTATTAAGAGCGTAGTTGATTTTTATGTTTTTTAGTTTTTTAATATACTCCTATTTAATGTGCTTTGTTATCAACAAATATGAACTATTCCTATTTATCATTATTTAATGAAGGAGTATATAACCTATCAAAAAAAAATGAAGGAGTATATTAGTAAATAATGTAAGAAAACAACTACATTAATTTCATTTGTCTTAATATGTGCGGAAATAAAAGCAAGCCTTCTTTGTGCGACAGAGAGTATATTTATGTTCGGGTAAATAGACATAAAATTTATACTTTCAGCATAAAATAGTTTGTGTAAAAGTTCTAGCAGTAGTAGAAAATATACTGACATGCATATTACCTGTATTTATTCTTTAGGGTGTCACAGTGATATGTATCCATGCCCAGCTTCTTAGATTGGAACCTGGGGCAGATTCTAGAGAATTGAAGTTTTTGTTAATTATGAGAAAATTTTGTTTCTTAGTTCCGTTCTATACTTTTTTCGCCTTTTTCACTCTCCAGATAAATTGCAGATAAGAAAGCCAACTATCCTGTTAAGGTTAGTGGACTTGAAATAAATCCTTATCCAATCTCCAGAGGCAAAAACACCACCTTCAGCATTGCTGCATCTACAGGTAATAGTTTGATTTTTATGCCTTCTACTCATATTTCAGACTTATTAGGTCCTGTCGCAATACTGGAACCTTTTCTGTACGTTGACTTGCAATTTTTGAATTGTGGACTAGAATAAGGGACGACGTTAGCAGCAACCTTTACATGTTAATAGCTTCTCTGTGGTGTCAAAAGAATGTGTTTGAAATATGTGAAAAAAGAATTCAGTATTCTACACCAAGAAGACTGTTTTGAAGATTTCTGAAAGTTAGACCATCTTATATTTGAGTTGGTTATTAGCATTAGTTTTTCTGTCTCTAAAAACAAAAGATCTAGGACCGGTGTGGCAAGTCTTCTGCTTGTGCTTCTTGTAGGAGCTTCTTGAGTAAACTACTTTTAGGCCTATTTCCTCTAACCCCACAAAATTTTTGTCAACAAAACTGTTTGTTTGACCTCATAAGACATTTATCACGGAACAAAGCACATTGTCCAGATGATAATAAGGAAGAGCTGGAAGCCATATTCATCTCTAATTATTTCCCATATTTGTTCCCTTTCCTAATTTTTATACTTTTAACCAAAAATAAGAATTTTCACGTGCTTATCATCATGACTGGGAGCTTCTATGTTGAAATAATATGAATCGTGAGAAGATACTTATGTGGAGCTTGCCTTGCAGAGGAACCAATCTCTGGTGGGAAGCTGACTGTTGATGTTACCTACTTTATATTTCACGTCTACAGTGAGGACCACAATCTTTGCTCGGAGACATCCTGCCCGGTTTCTGAAGGGGAATTTGTGGTTTCTCATTCCCAAGTGTTGCCTGGAATTACACCTCCTGTAAGTTCTCTGCTTATGTCAAGATACCAACCCCCAACAAAAAATGAAAAGAATGAATAAATAAGAAAAAATGGGAAGAATTACCAGAGCATCAAAATTCATTTGGCGCCAACGAAGAGCTTATGGTGTTTGACATGTGCAGGGTTCATACACACTTAAAATGACGATGGTGGACGCAAACAAGAAGCAATTGACTTGCATTACTTTTGACTTCAGCATCGGATTTGTAGCACCAGAAAGCTTAGCTGATGCCTGATATTCAAGTGCTCGAGGATTTGCTCATCTTTATGGCCATTCCAATCTTTACATACGTATAGAGAAAGTTTGTACTTTGAATGTTCTTTATCTCGTATATCTTTCTATTTCACTGGTTTTACGCAATGTCTGATGAGATTTAAGACTCGTGTACCTCTTATTACTTTAAACTTTTGAGGTTGTCATTATATTTTCTTCGCACCAAGTTCATTCACAGTCCGGTTGTGCAGCCCTCTTATTCTCAAGGCTTGGTTCTTGTATTGTTATATTTCATTTTACTTCTCGTCCGCTTAGAAACTAAACTTGCACAGAAGGTCACTGAAATTTCACCATGCTTGCTAGTGAACTTCTTTTTGGTACAATCACGCATTAAAACATAAAGATTCAACAATGTTTTGTGGATGGAGCCATATGTATCAACTAGTGAATGGATTTATATGTGAGTATCACCTTGTGACTTATGAGCAAGAGATCTCGATTATTCTGCAGCCAAACCAATAGGCAAATAAGCAATCTTGTACATGCACTCTCATGTGCCTATTCTATATGTTTGGCAAGTGTTTATTAAGATACAAAAAAGTTATGGGGATAAAAAGTTATATAAACGCTTGCCAAACGTTAAATTTCATGTGTCCATCTCGGCTTGTTATTTCTTTCTGCTCCGACCTGTAATAGCAAACTGTCATGATTTAACTCGTAAGTTAACGTTTGATTTGGATTTGTTAAATCAGTCATGTGCACTTCTAAAAATACTTTCATTTGGCATTCAAATGATTAACTTTCCATTAGCACATTATTCTTGATCACGATTTTCGTCCAAAAATTTTGATGGACAAATATTTAGCCCCCGTTTGATTCACATTATTTGGTCACAAAAATAAAAAATATGACAGTTATTCATCACATTAAGTTACCATATTTAACTTTCATCTCTTATGTGGGACATCTTGTAACGTTTATATTGTTCATCCTCATTCTTTCAAAAATGGGAATCAAACGGGGCCTTAGTCTTACTTCGTATTTGTTATCTTTTTTTGCTTATTTCAAAATATGAGGGGTAAATAAATCCTTTTTTCTCTCTTAACATAATTTTTAGATACGAAAAAGTCTGGAACATACATGTGATAATAAGGTTCTTGGCCTTTAATGCTATTAAATACAGTATTTCTTATAAAGTGTACCGATACAGTCACGACTAACGATAATTTTAGTGGTAGCTTTGGCAAAAGCATGATTCAAACATTTCTTTAATATTTTGAAGAGTAATGTTATGCACCACTATAAGTACTCATCATTGATTAATGTGGTATTATGTCGCATAATTTATTGTTTAATTAAAAAAAGTTAATTAGAATTTAAGTTAAATATGGACGAGATTCACAACTTTTTATTCATAATTCAATCAACTTTTATCAAAATTTAGTAATAATTTTTTTCCCCCCAAAATCAAACAGGGCTAAAAAGGAAATAGGGCTCAATCCGGAGGAAATACACGAAAATGGCTCTTCCACTGTAGCAAAATTTGACATTGGCCTTTAACCCATTAAACGAATTAAAAAAACAAATTAAGTTAAAAAAAACTTCACAATAAAAGGCCATTTTACCCTTCAGATTGTTTGAAAATCTCTGACTGACCGACCAACCGACCACCGGCAACTACATCAACGTCGCAGTCAACAATCATCATCTACACCGGAAATAAAATAACCGGTTAGTTTTCATCACTTTTCTCCAGTTAATGCGGTTCATGTGCAAGTTTATAGCATTTTTCTTACTAATTTCGGTTCAATTAGATCCATGAGCATAAGTAGTTAGATTGTGGGCATGCTGAGAGTGTGAAAAATGTGGATTTTTAGCTTTTTTTTGAAGCTCAGTGGTCAGGAATGGCGATTTCCAGCCGATTCCTGGCCCCAGCACCCGACTGTTAACAATCTGGGTCGACTGTTAATGATCCAGACTGTTATATATTTAATTTAAATTTTTTTTATAATTTTTGTAATTAATTAAATTTTTTATTTGATTAAATAGTAATTATTAAATTTTTTATTTAATTAAATAGTAATTATGTTATTTATTTATTTAATTTTTATCATTGTCAATATAATATAATAATTGAAATATTGTAAAATTGACAATGTTGATTCTTTTTTTTTATGAAATTATTTTTAATTTATTTTTTCAAATTTATTTAAATAATATAAATAGTCTTTACATTTTAAAAAAAGGTAAAGTATTTATTTATTTAATTTTTATATTTGTCTTTTATATAATTTAATAATTGAAATATTGTAAAATTAACAATGCTGATTCTTTTTTTTTTATAATATTATCTTTAATTTATTTTTTCAAATTTATTTAAATAATATAAATAGTCTTTATATTTTAAAAAAATGTAAAGTAATTATTTATTTAATTTTTATATTTGTCTTTTATATAATTTAATAATTGAAATATTCTAAAATTAACAATTTTGTGTTGTTCCTTTTTTTTTATTATGAAATAATCTTTAATTTATTTTTTCAAATTTATTTAAATAATATAAATGGACTTTTCATTTTTTGAAAATGTAAAGTAATTATTTATTTAATTTTTATATTTGTCTTTTATATAATTTAATAATTGAAATATTCTAAAATTAACAATTTTGTGTTGTTCCTTTTTTTTTATTATGAAATAATCTTTAATTTATTTTTTCAAATTTATTTAAATAATATAAATGGACTTTTCATTTTTTGAAAATGTAAAGTAATTATTTATTTAATTTTTATATTTGTCTTTTATATAATTTAATAATTGAAATATTCTAAAATTAACAATTTTGTGTTGTTTAATAATTTTGTGTTGTCCCATTTTTTTATGAAATAATCTTTAATTTATTTTTTCAAATTTATTTAAATAATATAAATATTCTTTACATTTTTTGAAAATGTAAAGTAATTATTTATTTAATTTTTATATTTGTCTTTTATATAATCTAATAATTGAAATATTCTAAAATTAACAATTTTGTGTTGTTCCTTTTTTTTTATGAAATAATCTTTAATTCATTTTTTTTCAAATTTATTTAAATAATATAAATAGTCTTTACATTTTTCTAAAATGTATTTAATTTGAAATTTTTTGTTTGTAAATATATTTTTCAAATAATAATTATTTTATTTAATTATTTAATTTTTATAATTTCCTTTTTTATATAATTTAATAATTGAATACATAATATTGTTCGAAATTAACAATTTGTTTTGTTCCTTTTATTGTTTTTTTATGAAAATCTTTGATTTTTTTTCAATTTATTTAAATAATATTTATATTCTTTAATTTTTTTTACAATACATTTAATTTGATTTGTTATTTTTTTCAAATATATTTTTCAAATGTAATATTTGTGATTGTATGGTAGTTAGAGTTCGGTTTCCTTGATTTTGTGAGATTATGCTTTTTTTTGTTATCTCTTGTTCAATGCTATAACATTTGAATTTTTGTAGGATGAAGTATCATTTAGATGCAGAGTTAGATGGATGCCAGAGTTAGATGGATGCCGGGGAAAGCTATTTGGAACAGTAGCTTTGAGAGTTTACTGTTGTGTTGGAGCTGCTCGATGATCAGCACGGAGATATGCTACGACAGTCCTTCTTGTGGCCACTGACCAATTGCGAGAGGTGCAGTATTCAGGACAGATCATTGATGCACTTCTATGTCGGTTTCTGAGGCCAGTCGACGGCGATTCCCTCCAGTTCGACCTCGGGGGCAAGGTCATCAGTTTCTCGATGTTTGAGTTTACATTGATCACTGGACTGAGGATTACGGGCGACAATGTAGCCATGGAGAGAAGCAATAGGTTGTACGAGACGTACTTCCAGGGACATGGGTTGGTGCTTCTACCCGACTTGATGGTCGCGATCAGGGGGTGCGACCATATGCTAGATAGATTAAAGCTTGGGCTGGTCTACATCCTCGAAAGTGTGATGAAGTGTCATCACAAGAACACTGCCATCGACATTTTTCATTTGCAAGTTGTTGACGACATCGATGCGTTCAACAACTATCCATGAGGGCCGAAGATGCTACGAGGACACCGTACATGTGTTCACCAGATCGCACTCGAGGCCCAGCGGGTCGATGCGTAAATACGATACATATGGATTGCCCTTAGCGGTGTAGGTAAATGTTTAATATAATCAAAGTTAAAGTTTTGGTGTATTACATTGATGCTTAATAAGTGTATGTGTTACAGATTTGGATGTATGAGACAGTTCCTGTACTGGGGGCCCGCTTTGCGCAGCGAGGGGAGACACGCTGCCGTCGGATGCATCATTGGAGATCATCGCGAGTGGAGGGATGTTCCAATGGGAAGCAGTCATCGGTCCTTCTCGACGATCCTCAGGTAAGTATTATGCATTTGTGATTTATATTATACGTAGTTTAAAATTTTGTTTACATGATCGTTAAATAGTTGAAATATCAATATGTCAGCTTGAAGTCATACCTGAGTTGACGCCGTCGATGGAAGAGGATGCTCGGGGTCTTGTGCGAAATTTAGGCGTTCCGCACACCCCAGACGAGGAGATGTCTGATCAGAACTTGGATCGAGATTGGGTATGTGAATGAAATATAATTTATTGAATATCGTCGACGTATAAATTTATTAAATAATTTTTCATTTTATTTATGTAGGAGGACGGTCCAGCTGATCGACGATCCCCTCCACCGAGGGCATCGCCGCCACCATTGGCATCATCTCCGCCGAGAGTATCGTCCCCGCCATTGGTATCACCTCCGTCGAGGGTGTCACCGCTGCTAGTGGCATCACCTCCGCCGGAGCCATCGCCACCACCATTGGCATCACCTCCGTCCAGATACTTCCCCCGTGTGTCTCCAGGACACATTGATGATTTATATGCCCGTTTGACTGGACTTATAGCGGAGGAGGTCGGCGCGCTACGACGAGATTTGACGGAGAGGGTCGATGATCTAGGACGAGAGTTGACAGGGAGGGTTGACGATTTATCCCATGATGTTGGAATACTATAGTCTTCCGTTGTCGACCTTCAGGATACAGTAGCGACGCTTAGAGGAGATTTAGCCGGCAGACGATGGGGGACAGAGGGGATGGCGGATATCATGATCGAAAGGGTGGCAGAGATGGTGATGGAGAGGGGGGTCACCCACATTTTTGGCGTGATGAGACATTGGAGTCATTGTGGTTGTCTATGGAGGAGGTGGCCCCGATGGGGATGGGAGAGGGGACTACGGAGGGGGTGGCCCCGACGGGAGGGGCGGAGGAGGTGACGACGGAGGGAGAGGCCCCGATGGTGTGGGGCAGAGGAGGTGGCCCCGAAGGTCGAGAGGACGCCCGGCGTGATTGAGGGTAAGAGACATGCTGTTGACGAGACGGAGCATGTGGTCGGCAAGAGGTTGAGAGTGCCGTCACAGTATGTTGTTTCCCCCTTCACGACTGAGGCCAAGAGGATGACGTTCATCGACGGGACGTACCCGAACTTATTCAGAGAGGTGGACAATACCAAGTGGAAAGCTTTCGAGACAGAGTGGAGGAGAATTATCCCCGAGTAAGTATTGTATGATTTTAATAAAGCACTGTACGCTAACTCGTCTACGCTTATTTTAATATTTTCCTATTTTTTACAGAGTTAGCCGCACGATAGGTCAAATGACGGTCTCGGACCCTTACAAATGGTTCCATGATATCACACTGCGGGAGCTTGGTCGCTGACGATGTAAGTGAACTATTCATTTCGTGTTTTTTATATGCATATGTGACCTTGTGTTTATTAAATGAATAACTCATACTTTTTTGGTATTTCCTGCTGCAGCACATCGACCTGGCCATGGACTTGCTGCGAGATCGAGCTCAAAAACATCCAAAATCATTTGATGTCCATGGTCGAGTCATATTAAACACCGAGTTCCTGGGTGCCGTTACCATAGAGTATCAGTCGCTTGCACATATGGGTAACGAGTACACGGTGCCAGAATATATGCTCGAGTGGGTGATAGGACTGTCACTGAGTGTCGGGGGAAAATCATGGGAGGGTTGTACACATATGTACATTCCAGCGTGTATCAATAAATACTATGTTACGCTGGAGATCGTTTTTGCTGACTCCACTATATATGTGTACGACCCAGATCATTCATGTTTGACACAAGGCCAGTTGGAGCAAAACCTGGAGTCCGTGGCTGTAATTGTTCCTATGATGGCCAGACGAGCGGGGATAAATGTACAGGACAGATTGCGGATCGTTCGGAACACGACGACAGCACGACAGTCCGTAAGGTAAGTGTTTTAACTTTGGTGTTTTCATCTTTCAGATTTAGGTTTTATTTACACAGTACTGAACTGATTCATTCTTGTTTAATTGCAGCGACGACTGCGGCATATTTGCCATTAGGTACGTTGAATTTTTAAGTAAAGGATATAAGGTTGATAGAATCAACTAGTCGTGAATACAGAACTGGAGAAAGAAGTTAGCATGTGATTTGTTTGAATTTAATGCTGACCCGTAAATTTCATTTATATATATGTAACATTTCAATTGTAAATTTAATTATTTTTGTAATTATGAAATAATTGTAAATTTGTTTTCAATGTATATAACATTCAAATTGAAAAATTAATTATTTTTGTAATTATGAAATAATTTTAAATTTGTGTTCAATGTATATAACATTCAAATTGAAAATTTAATTATTTTTTGTTATTTTACACGTATGCCGAGTATGAAATTATTTTTTTCATATAAATCACTATAAATACCATTTATCAAGAATAAATATTGAATATGGAAGATTTATAAATAAAAAATATTGAACAGTGTAAAAGTAAAAGGAAATATTATTCATTTCACGTATCTGTCTAGTCATCATTTAGGGGAATATGATTGGTACAAAATTGTCGAGTATGCCCTACGGCTCTGCACCGGCCACACCTACGCCGTCGAGGAAACTCTCTGGTAGATGGTATTCTAGATGTACTTGGACGTCCAGGACCACGCGGTTCAACTGCTGGTGGTAACAAATTATGAAATGGGAGAATGTGCTCGGGAACTTCCCACTCGACTTCATTCGGAAGAGGAAATATAGTCTCGGCATATGCTGTTCTCCAAGACTCAATCGTATATTACAAAGAGCATAACGTTCTCGTAGCAAAGCCTCGATACATGGCCACCGCAACTGCATTCTCACATGGAAACCTCTCCAACTGAAATCTCGAGCAAGTGCATGTGTTATCAGTCAAGTCCACCATATATGCCGTATTACATGCACATTGCACGGAGAAGCGAAACTCATCTAGTGCTTCCACATTCAACTTCCTCGTAACCTCTGCCGCCTTAAACAGTTTCTCCTCTTGAGCTGGGGCCAACACGCTAGTGCAACTCTGTGATGCCGCACGTCGGTCATGAAACCACTGTTGTAGCTTGTTACGAATGTTCTCAATCATTGCGAGAATTGGTAACTCTCGATCCTTCTTAAACAATGCATTAAGAGACTCCGCGTTATTTGACGTCATCATGTTGTATCGACGTCCTGGAAAGTATGACCGCGCCCAATGTTCAATCCCCATCTTCGTCAGATACTCCAACGCCAGTAATGATTTACTTCCTATCTCAAGCATGAACTTATTACACTCTTCAGCATTGTAAGCTTCGGCTGCTCTCCTAAACAATGAAACGATGCCCGTGCCTCGATATCTAGTCTTCAAATTACCTTATATATGTTACATGCAATACCCATGATGTGCCCCGGAAAAAATTTCAGCGACACCGTTTATTATAGACTGTCCTCGATCGGTTACAAAGGCAAGATTTTCGACTTCCCTGATCACTTCCCTCAGTTTAGAAAAGAACCAACGCATGGACAGATCATTCTCGCCGTCGACTATGCCGAATGCAATAGTGTAAATTTGAATGTTGGCATCTTGACATGTAGCAATAATTAATTTGCCTTGATATTTAGCTTTCAGAGTCGTACCATCAACTAGAATTACGGGTCGCATTGCATTTCAAAAACCCCGAATACATTGTCCGAGAGTCATGAAGAAATACTTAAAACAATTATCGCCTCCCGCCTCAATAAAAAATGTCGTGCCAGGATTAGTTGTCCCCATGTTATGACAATACCTAGCCAATTTAGCATAGCTCTCTTCAACCGATCCCATTAAATCCTCCAATGCACATTCTTTGGCCTTCCACGCTTTCTGATAGCTCATGACCACTCCGTACTCTCTACGGACGTCGTTAATGATGTCCGAAGGTTTGTAGATCGTCCGTGGATCCTGATACTTGTGCATTATCTGTCGACCAATAAACCATGCTCGAGCTTGCCTGTGATTGTTTCGAAGAATTCCCACTTCGCAAGTATGTTCCCGTGAATACTTGCGAATTACGAAGCACTCATTCGTGTCCATCTTAGTTGCTCTCAAGCGCCAATTGCAACTGTCTTCGACGCAAGCTACTGTCAACAATGACTTGTTTGATTTCTTTACCTTGAACTCAAAGTTATATTTTAATGTCAGCCGGTGCATAGCTTCCTGCAAATCTTTCTTGGTTTCAAACAGTTACTCGACCTGCAAGTCCTCATCATCAGGAGCCACACAGGAAGAATTGGAGGACGATCCACTTGTTCCAACCTGTGAGCTCCCACCCGGCTCGTGTCTCTGTCGGGATAAAGCAATCAAATTCTCATTTATAAACTCGTTTATATTCTCATTGTCTTCAATTGCCGAAGAAATTCTGCGCGTAACAGCGACATCGCGATCAGAAGCAACTATATCAGGAATACCCACATCATCCGCAGGAACTATTTCCACTGTCTCCCAAAAACCTCGATCATTGTTATCCGCCCTATCTAAATCTTCGCGTTCACCTTCGATAACATCCTTTGTAATTAAAGTTACACCAAGAACCATCGGAGTCCGATGTATTTTATTCAATTCTAATAGATAATTCAATTCAGCATTATTAGCAACGAATATCGGTGGCATCGGAATAGATGAATCCCCATAACCGTTGAATAAATATCTCAATTGCATATCGTATTGAGATTGATCGACATTCAGCTTATTTTGCAAATCGTGGTACATTTCTAAGTATGGTGTACTCTCTGTTACGGGAATTACAATACAACCACGTATGTCACTCGTCCATCTCCATTCCCACCGATTATTTTCATTCAATTCGAAATCACCGAAATAACACACGGGGATTATCATATTTGCATGAGTAAATGGTTTTAATCAACTTCATTTATTAATTATAAGAAAAAGGTCAACAAAAATCAGCTGCAGTCGGTTAATTGGCTGTTAAACAGCCGGCTGTTCGACTGTTTACAGCCAAGCAGTCGAACTGTTTCCGACTGTTTGGCTGTTTGTTAAGTCAAAACACCCAGTTTGACTGTTTTTGTGCAGGAGAATACGGTTCTAAAGTTTTACATTTGTTTAATTTTTTTTGATAAGTAAGATCTGTTAAAAAAAATCTATGTCGACATAAAATTTCTCTATTTAAAAAAATACTAATTTACTGAAAACAAAATTAAACATACGTAAATGTACTTACCGATTTGAAGTAATTGATATGAAAAAAATTTTCGACTTCAACGTTCCAAAATTTTTCTAGATTTTGAGGTTCAAGCAGATGAAAAGATGAGAGTTTTTCCTGTGTTGGAAGCTCGTTTTGAAGTTTTTATAAGTGAGGAAGTGTTTGATTTTCAATTATTAACTAAAAGGGTAGTATAGTCATTTCAATAATATATTATTTTGTAATTGTATAAAATATTTAACGATATCTTTGTCTTTTATCGTACAAAAGGCTAATATCTTAATCTTTTATTATACAAAAGGCCAATATCTTAATATTCATGATTTTGAAAGAGACAAAGTGGAATTTAGGTTTTGACTGATGAAACTTAAAAGTACCCCTCAATCCGCGAGAAAAAGAAGGGAAGAGTAATGGGTTCTGTTCTTTTCCATTAAAATCTAGTCTTCCACCAATAGTTTCTACGAATTTGTTCTTGGAAGTTTCACTTGGTGAGATTTTAACCTCTTTTATTAGTGTTGTTTTTGGATTCCATATTCTTCGATGATGAATAAAGGTGTGTTCTTCATGTTGTATTATGCTTCATGTATTGACTACTGAGAATCTATTTTATTCCTATTATTATAGTGGAAATTGATTCGGAGGTTGCATATTGGTGTTTTCTTGTGTTTTATTTTTCCGATATTTATATTGCTTACATAAATTGTTGCTTTTGTGGTATTGCAGTTTGTATTGGTGCGTTGGTGTATGGTATCGGACCAGGTTGTATTGTGTGGACTAAAATGGAGGAGTCGGTAGGTAGTGCTATGATTAAACTCACAGGTCAAAATTGGGTGACTTGGAAGCCTAGAATGGAGGGAATCCTTTATTGAAAGGATTTACATGAACCTATTGAAGGTCACGTAGCTAAACCAGAGGAAATGACTGAAAAGCAATGGTATATTCAGAATAGAAAGGCCATAGGAACAATCATACAGTGGGTGGATGACAGTGTGTTTCGTCATGTGGCGCGAGAGACAAATGCTCATAAACTATGGACAAAATTGGAGTTAATGTTTGAGAGGAAAGCCATAACTAAAAAGTTTTTTTCTGATTAAAGACTTAGTCAATTTGAAATACAAGGAAGACATGAGCATGACAGAGCATTTGGCTAATTTCCAGAATATCATAAACCAGCTAGCAACTATGAGTATGGTACTTGAAAATGAATTGCAAGCTTTGTTGCTTTTGAGCTCGTTGCCAGATGGCTGGGAGACCTTCGTCATGACTGTCAGTGATTTTGCTGCTAATGGTGTTTTATCTGTGGATTTTGTGAAAGATAGCATGCAGAACGAAGAAACAAGAAAAAAAATTTCTGGGGTTTGCACGGGTATTGATAAAGCACAAGCTCTTGTTACTATAATTATTTAGAGTTATGTCACAGTCAATTAAGGAGGGCCATATCAAAATAAAATGCCTTATTTTTCTGATAGAGCAAATGGAAAGTGACAATCAGAAAATGGAAGATGATAAGAACAACACGGTGATTGTCCATTTTCGTGCTTTGGAGAGACCCAAAGAAGATGAATTCTGCTTAGAGCTGTGAGTGTTCTTCTTGATCTTATTTTTCTGGACTGTTGAAGACTGTACTTTACTGATTGTATGCTTGTTCCCTTTATCATAATTTTCTGAGCAAGTTTAGGTTGATTTATCTAACCAATTTGGGCAAAATTTCCGGAGCAGAGAACCACACATATTTTGATGTCGTGGAAAGGGTAGCTCAACACCTTGAGTTGGATGATATAACTAAAATTCAGCTTACTCCTCAAGATTACTATTCTCAGAAACCAAAGCCCAATCCTATTAAATATAGATCAGTTGATCGCCTACTAGACATGCTTGTCAACTACAATCAGGTAGCTCCAACACACCGTCTTTTACTCTGTTTTATTGTAGCGGCACAGTATTCAGATGTTGATGGATCAATAATTGTTTGCTTTCTTTCTAATAGAGCTCTAATATTCTGTATTATGAAGTAATGGACAATCCTCTACCAGCATTTAGAGTTATGTCACAGTCAATTAAGGAGGGCCATATCAAAATAAAATGCCTTATTTTTCTGACAGAGCAAATGGAAAGTGACAATCAGAAAATGGAAGATGATAAGAACAACACGGTGATTGTCCATTTTCGTGCTTTGGAGAGACCCAAAGAAGATGAATTCTGCTTAGAGCTGTGAGTGTTCTTCTTGATCTTATTTTTCTGGACTGTTGAAGACTGTACTTTACTGATTGTATGCTTGTTCCCTTTATCATAATTTTCTGAGCAAGTTTAGGTTGATTTATCTAACCAATTTGGGCAAAATTTCCGGAGCAGAGAACCACACATATTTTGATGTCGTGGAAAGGGTAGCTCAACACCTTGAGTTGGATGATATAACTAAAATTCAGCTTACTCCTCAAGATTACTATTCTCAGAAACCAAAGCCCAATCCTATTAAATATAGATCAGTTGATCGCCTACTAGACATGCTTGTCAACTACAATCAGGTAGCTCCAACACACCGTCTTTTACTCTGTTTTATTGTAGCGGCACAGTATTCAGATGTTGATGGATCAATAATTGTTTGCTTTCTTTCTAATAGAGCTCTAATATTCTGTATTATGAAGTAATGGACAATCCTCTACCAGCATTGCAATGTCTGAAGACTCAAAGAGTTTCTTTTCGTCATGCCACAAAGGATGAGGTGGGAAAACTATGGATGCCGTCATTGTACTGTTCTTCTTCTTCTTCTTCTTCTTTTTTTTTTAATATCATGTGACCTATAAAAACTTCTCATTTCAGGCCGTAGTACTGAATATTAGATTGCCGAAACAAAGCACCGTGGGAGATATTTTTAATGAGATCAAAACAAAGGTTTGCATGAGCAAGTCTCATGGAAATGTTTTCCGAAAATTCGAACTTCTATCATCTTTCATTGTTCCTAAGACTATTTGCAGCAGTTAATATAGAAATTGTGTTTTCATCATTATTTCATGGGGCAAAATATAAGATATACTGACTGGCGCAGGATTGACAATTTCTCATGTCTTCTGCAGGTAAAGTTGTCTCAACCAAATGCAGAACTCAGGTTGCTCGAAATTTTCTATCACAAAATTTATAAGGTAATGTGGTCACTTGCCCGCTCTGAAGTCGGTTGCAGTTTAGTCCTGTTATTATGGCATAAATTTTAGTACAAATCTAGCACCATAAGATCTGGCCTTCATTGTAGACTGCTTTTGTTGTAGACTCTTATGCAACAAAATACAATGTAGGTTCTTTGTTTTATGATGCATCCATATTCTTCTGTTTCCAATTCTGCAGATCTTTCCACTCAATGAAAAGATTGAAAGGATAAATGATCAGTACTGGACATTAAAGGCTGAGGAGGTTACTTTGTTGCTCACAAAATCTTCCTCTTGCTCTCTTTTCTCACAATTTTCATGCATGTACATGGTTTTTTGTTCAGTTGCCTCATTATTCTTCTAAGTTCGAGTATGCTCATATGCTGTCTGAAAGAATTCGGGAAGATGCTTTTTTACCGCTTTATTTTTGGTCTTCTCCTTATATATGCATACATATGGTGATATACATAGAGTAATACACACACAGATATAGATGCACAAGTACACGAGCTTTATTGCTCTCAGAATTGCCCTCTTGTTCACTTTTTCATGCTTTCATAGTTGTCTCTTCTGTTCACAACCTCGTTTTCTCTGTAACTATAAAATTTAGTAACTTGATGCCATTCATGGAATCCAGGAAGTTTACAGTTCTAGATTTGGTCTTATTTTTTTATAAAATATTGTCATATGGTTCTACAGGTCGGCTTTTCTTGTGATAGTTCTTCACTTATAGTTTTTGTTATAGTGATATTCATTCATGTTGCTTTCTGTTCCAATGTTTCTGACTTCAAATTTGGGTAACTATCATTCCAGATTCCTGAAGAAGAGAAGAACCTTGGTCCCAATAGCCGTTTGATTCATGTTTACCATTTTATGAAACAGAATGCACAGAATCAAGCGGTACTTTAGCAATCACATAATCTCTGTGTTTATTGTCATTTAATGTCATTGATTCTTTTTGGACATAATTTTAATGGTAATGAGCTTGATATTGAAAATGTGGCTTATATTCACTGTTTCCCATATAGCAAGTCGAGAATTTTGGGGAACCCTTCGTTTTGGTCATTCGTGAAGGTGATACTCTAGCAGATGTTAAAATGCGGATTCAAAAGAAATTGCTGGTTCCTAACGAGGAATTCTCTAAGGTATATTCCATTCTCATTGGATCTAATCTACATTACATATGGTTTTTTAACCCGCATCCAGCACTTTGCCTAAATTTGCTAATGCCTTGTGGATTTGTTGAGATTATACTTTGGGTCATAAGATTTTGCACTTTTATGTTCAGTGGAAGTTTGCTTTTGTCTCACTGGGGCATCCAGATTATCTCAAGGACTCTGACATTGTGTATAGCCATTTTCGGGTCATCTTTTCAATGCCAAGTTTCCTGTCTTATCAATTAATTTTAGAATAATTCTATTTGTACCGAATTCAACTTACGAAAAGGTGTCACCCCTCTCACAACGCATGCGGGCCCTGTGTGAATATAAAAATTTCCAAATGTGGTCCTCACCCCCTATTGAGTAGTAGGTAAAGGATTAGGTAAAAAAATTATGTACATGTAGCAATTGTCCTTAATTTTATTGAATTATTCAAATTTTTTTCTTCAACCTCTATAAAGACTGAGGAACTCGTATTTTATTCTCTTGTAGAGAAGAGATGGTTTTTGTGCTTGGGAGCAATACCTTGGGTTAGAGCATTTTAACACTACACCTAAAAGGGCTTATGCTGCAAACCAGGTGAATTCGTTGAATATTTTCAATTCTCTTTTGATTTTTAGATTGTTGTAGCCAATTAAATTGATAATTTGTACAGGAAAAGAACGCCATTTATTAAGTATCTTTGAAACAGGATGTGAACTTCAATTGTTAGTTATACTTGGGTGGGCTTTGTACCTTTTTAAGTTTCATTCAAAAAAGAAAATTATTATTTTGTAAATATTATCTTAAATGCTGGTAACTTATGTCTTTCTAATTGCAGAAGCGCTGCAAATTTGAGAAACCCGTGAAAATATACAATTAAATGGAATTGCTCGTCTCATTCTTCTTACTCGGAGTCAACATTGAAAATGTGAAGAACTTGAAATCCGAGATGTGTAAAGGAGAGTTGCAAGGCAGAAAAGAGGATAGCTGATGACTTTTTCTCCCTCCATGTTTCTTCTGTTCACATAGTTGTTTTGTTAGTGCAATTATATTTTGACTTGAAATGGAAAAAGGATGAGCTTTCACTCAAATGTATCTTTGCTTTTAGTGGTTGGTATTCTATACTTTGCTATCTTCAGGAATTTTTTGGTTTCTATGTAATGTTACCTTGCATTTCAAGTTTTTGGTTAATGGGATTGTATAGTGTGTAGTTAGCCCTCACTCTTTCACCTAGGACTGTCAATGATTGGATTTTGATTCGTATCAAATGAAATTAATGGAAGATGAATTTAGGATCTTAATTCAATAATTCAATCAAGATCCAAATCCAGTAGTCCGTTAACTAAATAAAGCAAATATAGATAAAGGTCAATCCAATCCGATAACAATCAAATTTGATTTATTATATTAATATTTTACATATTGTAATATAATTTTTTGTCATTTTGAAAATTGTATTATATTTCACATAAATTTGAAGTAATAAATAATATTAGATAATAGTAAAATATTCTTAATTGAAATATTTGAAAAGATTTAACTTTTTTTATTAATTAAAATAAGATAAAAATAATAATTAATTTATTTTATAAATAAAATAATCAAATGAGCCAACAGTTGGAGTTAATTTCATTATTCTCAACTTCTTACTTCCCACATATGATATTCATTAGAATATCATAAAATTTACAATATATAAATAGGTGGATTAAGAATTCGGTAAGAAGTTATTTAAGCTTTTTAATTCTGGAGTTTAGAAGTTGACTAATATAAAATTTTTATTTTTCTAATTTTTTTCAATTTGGAATCAAGTTATTGGATAGCAATCAGATATCCGTTGAATTATCATATGAGATCGGATAACTATTTTTAACGGATCAGATCAAATTTGGGTAAATCTGATTTATATCCAATCCATTCACCGTCCTATTTCACCTAGACTTTGTTTGCTTTTGTTCCTTTCCCTTTAATTTCCTATCCCTCTCCCTCTCCATCTCCTGGAAGTAGGGATAGCAACATGGCGACCCTCCTCGTCCCATTGGGTATATCTCAAAGGCAGGGAAGTGGGTGGTTTAGGGGAAGGCTCAAGGCAATTTTGGGGAGTGGGAGACCTCATGATGGCAAAAAACTAAACGGTTACACTACATATACTTCACTACTTACAGATTTATTTACCAACAAATGGTAGGACAATATTTGATGGGTAATTGGCGCAAAACATCCTTACCTTTCGAGGTTATTGTGAAAAACGTTCCTATCTTTCATTTTTTGGCATTTTTGCCCTTATTTACCACCTTTCTTGAGCTGAAGGTCCTTTTCACTGTTTTTTGACGATTTTGCCCTCTATTCAAATAAAAGAAAAAGAATAGAATAGAAAACAAAAGAATTAATTGCAACTAATACCCCAAAATTTCAAAAAATTACAAATTAGTAATAAATATAGGAGTTAATAGCCCAAATGGTTACTAAACTTTGCCAAAGGTCCAAAAAGGTCATTGAACTTTTTTAAATACAAAAACTAATGTGTCAATGATGTAGTAAGCATCTGCTTCAACCTTCAGTACAAAAAAATGATCATTCCAACTGACAATGAAAACGGGGGCTTCCCCACTGTTAAAACACTCTAAACAGCTAATCTCATCCCAAATGTTGTCGAAGGACATGGCACCATGCAAAAAATCAAAATTTCCTTCCTCCATTTCATGTGGATGGAAAAACCCGATAAATGATTTCCCAGGAACTAAGCTAAGATCACAGTCTTTGGCTTGGAGGACTGTCTCTAAATCAAAGTGCCTGTCAGGAAAACGCTCCCGGTAAGTTTCATTCTCACACAGGTTCCTCCATTCTGAGGAGCCATCTCTTATTAAACTATCAAATTGTGACTTAACGGGCATGAGGTCACGATTATTCTGCAACCAATCAGCAATCACAGTGACTAAGGTCGTACATGCACTTTCTCCTGCAGCCCTTTCACTTCGCTGATCAATGGTAGCAAAGAAAACCTGTGTCTGAATCTTCATGTGTCCATCTCGGCTTGTTATTTCTTTCTGCTCCCAGATGCCAACAGCAAAACTATCATCACCAAAATCGGAAACTGACGATCGATTTGGATTTGAGTCTTCATCAGTCTTGTGCCACTGCACGGAATTACAAAGCCATTACTTACATTTAGCATCACAAGCAAATCTGAAGAATTGCAGAATTCATACAATAAGCTTAAATATCAATAACAGTATACATGGTATCTATCAAACAATTCTTACCCCAAAAGAAAGAGATTCATCAGAGCTGAGCTGCCGGCGATCAAAGTCAATATCATCTCCACCTTCTTCTCCATAAGCTTTCTTCAATAATGGCTCTCCTTTGACTTTAGGAGATCTAAAACTTAACTTCCTTTTCCTCCAAGGCAAAATACTACGTCTTGAGTTCTGCGACAATGATGACTCAGAAACAGTAGAAACTGGATCCTCCTTGTGCGAGCAGTTAACATCAGATTTACGGTTGCTGTAGTAAATCCAATCCTCATCCTCACTGTTTATTCTAACACTGGAGTAATATGACACACCTGCGTAATTAGCATAAGCCAATGTCCCGTAACTAAACGATTTCCTAACAGTAGAATCATCCTTGGCTTCATCAGATTCCCCTTCCTCGAATTCATCGAGTGAATCTGAATCAAAGTTATAAGTGTACTCGCCCTCCTCACTCTTAGCCGAGCCCCTTCCCTCGCTTCCCTCTTCCTCAAGGCAGGCCTTTTTAGCTCTTCGAGTAGACACATATTCTGTAAGGATCTTTACTTTTCTGAGACCAGCTTTAAGTCCAGAAACCTCATCTTTCTCCGATGAGGAAGTTTCTCCAGTCGGTAAAGGGGATGAAATGGGAATTATTTGCCTCTGCACTGGCTCTGTTGATTCTTGGGCAACTCTCAGTTCCAATAAGCTAAGAGATATCTGAAATACAGATGAAGAACATATATTTCCATTCAATCATTGGTAGGAGATGCCATATATAAAAACAGTTTAAAAGTAGTACGTACACAAAGCAAGGGGCTAGTCTCAGCTGTACTGCCTGAAACTGCCAGAGGAATCTTAAGCTCAAGCTCTTGCTCTTCAATTTTGGAAGCAAATTCAGCAACGTTCAAAAATGCCGAGCCAACTATAATAACCTTGTTTTTTGCCCCACGATTCAAACCCTGGAACAAAACTAAATGAGTTTAGTTCTATTAAATAAAACAGCAACCGTCGTGATAATTAGAAAAGCTTCATAGTAAATATAAAAAAAACCGTAGGTTTGAGAAAAAAGCAAAAATAGGCATTGACTTTTACAAATTTTACAGCCAAATTTCAATGACTTCATTGACAAGTGGCAACTACTTAAAAAGAAAAGGGCAAAAAGCATTGGAAAACAGGAAAAATCCATTCTATGAACTCTTATGCAATTAAGTACCATGTGGAATAGCAAACATTTTGCCAAACAAGTGGCAATCATTCTAAGATGTAAGAAATCTGTCATGCCTACCAAATGTAGAAAACAAGTATTCAGAAAGAAGAATTAACAAACGGAACCGTGCTGCTACTAATCAATCAAACTACCACAGTAACCTGGCATTTATTATCTTAATAGACGGGCACCATAAACATTTCTAAACACGTTGACTCCTATCAATATAGGCAAACTTGCAAATCTAATGTCCTAGTCAATATCTCAAAAGTAGAGATGCTCAGAGGATGATCAGTATCTGTCGAAGTAATTTTCCCCTCAATTCATTTTTATTTTCGAGTTTTGAGATAAATTTACAAACAAAGGCATTCTTTTGTTTATGGATTCAAAGTTTTTTACCCCATAGAGATTAGGAAACTTAAAACATGACAATCCATCCTCAAATCACAGGCACAGACAGCACACAAGTACCCATAACACATACATTGAAGTATAAAATATCCATGTAAGGATATCAGTTCGGAAAGCACAAATCTTTACCCAATAAGCCAAATACCCAAAAAGAATTAAAGAAAAATATACAAGTAAAATTGAAACTTAATAAATTCTAAACAACATAATTTTGAATAAACAAGTAAGTTAAAGAAAAAAGGCAAAAGCACTCACGTGCAATACAGTAAAGGTAATCTCCCAAGGATGAAATGCATTTTCCCTGTACCCAGTAAGATTACAAACACTATGAAATTCTTCATCCCATTCCACAAGAATCCCACCTTCTGTCCCATCAACCCTTTTAACAATTTCTTCTCTTGTGCAATTCCTCTTCACAGTCCTTCTTAATAAGCCCAAAGAAATTCTGGGACCCTTCCACCTGATCTCCACTGCAAGCCCACCATTCTCCTTATCTGCACCTTCCTGAACCCAATCACCGCCCTCAAGGCTCTGCACCGTGAGTTTCACCTCATATTTTCTTGAAATCAGAGGAGGCCAAGGCCTCCACCTCATCATCTTCACCACCATTTTTGTTTGTCTTTTCTATTGAATAAATAAAAAACACTCCCTCCTCTTTTTCTGGGTTTTTTGAGAGATTATATACGCAAGAAAAAGAGGGGCTAAGATCTGTGAAGACTGAAGACTACATCAATTTTTGGCAAATTGGGTTCAGAATAAATGATCTTTTTAGGGAAGGAGGATGTTATACAATTCAATACTCTACAATACAAGCCGTTGTTCTGAGGATTTTTCTCCGTAAAAAACTACAAAAGTTATTGTGAGAGAGAAGATAGAGAGAGAAGATGCCCGTTATTTTGCTGGATTTTTCTCAATGCGGAATGTTTACATACATTTTAGTGAGATAAAAGAGAGAGAGGGAGTGTTAAGCGTGTATATGTCGCGAATAAAACCGCGTCAATACGCAGCGTTTTGGTTTATGAGTTTGTAAGGTCAAGGCAAAATCTAGATTAGGTTACGATAATTTTGCCCCAAACTATTCGTTGCTTTTACTGTTATTTAAATCATTTTATTTATTTTTATTAATCTAAAGTGGATTTCACATCAGAAACGGGTGAATGAGTGATTTTGCAAGAGTATTATTGAAAAAGGGTCTTCATGAATCTATTAAGTTATATGAAATTCATCTGCGTGAAAAAATAAATCTAATAGCAATGTTTTGATCCTATGATGATTCGTGCATGTTACGTCACATTAAAAATGATTCGTGTATACTACAAAAATTAACCATGATGTAATAATATAAATAGAAGCGAGTCAAATAATTTGAGTGCCTTCTATAATTTACGAATATTTTTTTAAAAAAAAATAAAACTTTTAAATTAATTACTTTTTATATAATTAGGGTTTAATGGATAGTTGTTTTATCTTCTTCTTTCTTGAAATTAGTGAACCCTATATATTGTATGTTACATATTCTTGCTAGTTAAATTTAAGCTTTAGCCTCACGTGTCACCTTTGGCATGAAACAATATTGGGAAAAGAATCAAGACCATTCGAATAAAATATCCTTTACGTATAGTTTTATACCAATAAAGTCTATGAGAAAAATGAGATCTTATGTTTTCAATTTCACTAGAATGTGTATTTTTTTTGTTCTCTTGTGTATTAATGTATTTTATGATCTATGATACGACATTTGTACTAATTAATCATTTATTGTTGTATATTTAGCCTCTTTTCACCACATGTTTGAATTCATTTTTCTCTAGACTCATTTTCAATTGAACATTTTATGAAACTCATATCTTTTATCGATTTTTCAATCACATTTAATTATTTTTATCAAAATAGACTAAAATTTGATAGCAAAATCAAAAAGGGATATAGTATTTACATTGAAAAGTTGCTATTGGCGTACTTGTTGCATCGTTATAGCCATTTAGACGAGTGATCTTGTAATTAACATCACTTTCCGGCTTTCCTAGTAAAAAATGTTCAAGAGTTTTGAAATATGTTGGATTTCCTTTCAAGCCTACAACTTCTACTTATTGCTTTTATCCTCGTAATTTACTCCAGATGGTCATAATCTATGCTAATATAGATAGAATTTCAATTCATATATAATTTTTCAATTATTATTGTGCGATTGATGAGTTACATAGTCTAGTCTAATCTAATCAAATCTAATACTTGATATATTTTTCAAGGGAACATAAACATTCCCCATACTTACCTAAAAAGCAATTGTAAATCATGGTAGTGGGGTAAATTTTTAGTTTATTTTAAGAGTAATCATGCCATCTATCTATCTTTCTTTCTTTTTTTCTTTCTTTTTAGATTAAAAGGTCACCTTTTATATATATACACATTATAGTGATGAGAACCTTCTAGAAGCAAGTTTAAAATCCATACAAATAGTCAGAATCAAGACATAAGTAAAGCAAAGGGTATTAAGTGGCCACAATGAAGGCAATACTTACATAATCATCACTTCCAAAATGTCTAACCATAGGCTACCTATCTCTATATTCAACTCCAACAAAATATCATAAATTTAATTCGATAATTTATTATTGGCAATATTATTAAATAGTTTCAAAAATTTTGTGGGATCCAAGATGTAAGAATTGAATTTTACTATTGTTGATACGTAGTCATGTGTCTATTTCAATATAATTTTAGAGCATGTTTGGTGCGTTTGATTCAATAGATGTAATATAAAAGGAAATAATTACATATCAGAATTTATCAATTGCACGCTTTAATCAATTATACTCGACATGTCATATAATAAATTGTTGACTTTATGCAAAAGTGAAAACCCAAAATATCACCCCCAAACTTGTGATCCATAACAATTTGGAACAAATAATTTGGTGAAGCACAATCATTGATCAAGAATTCAATGTATTAGATCATGATTAATTAGACTTATAATCTTGACCATTAGTTATGAAGTCAGTGTTTGATTTTACTAAAAATAAAATTTTGAGTAAATTTTGGTAGTTAGGATTTTTTTTTTTTAATGAAATGTGTGATTAAAAAGTCGTGGATCTTATGAAATATGTTTTGATTTAAATTTTTATCAATTTTTTGAGTTAAATCATTCATATTATATTTGCAAGTTGTGTTCAGTTATAATATAAAAAATTGACTCCATTTTGTCCACAATCCTATTGCATGATGGAGAGGGATGGATCATGAAAAGAGCAAACACATATGTGGACATGAATTTGCTTCATTTATAGGACTAAAAAGCTTGGCTTTATAGCCTAGCAATTTCAAAGCTTTAGTATAGAGCCTTCAAATGTGTGGAAATATATTTGTGGGTGTGACTATTTACAATTATTAGGGGATTTAGATTTAGTTGTCTATCACATTGGAAGAGATGTTTCTGGTCAATTTTAATAGAAGAGGGGCCCCAATTTAGTTGGTTAACATATGCCTATGAACTTCACATTCATCTCATATAGCTACCCATCAATTTTATAGAGAATTTGGTTTAAGGTTGAAATGAACCTTTACTACATTGCTAGTATTTTAGAGCTTTGATTTTCGTATCGCTAGCAATTGTGAAAAAATTTTATTCTTTCGTGTTTTGGGACATGCCTTCAAATATATATATATATTTGCTAATCTATTCCTCGACTTTGAAAGCGGATTGATAGAATAGTGGGTTGACTTCTTTTGACCTTGCCGTTGAGTTTCTAGAGAATTTGATATAAGAATGTCTTTAAACTTTAAATCGTGGTCGGAGACTAAATCGTGCTATTGTTATAAAAACTAAGGGACGACTCTCTCTTTGTAAATGTTAGAGATTAACTTGCTAGCTTGAAGGTAAGAGAAAGACACATTATGATTTTGAAAATTTAATTGAGCTTAGCACTAAATTAAAACCAAAAAAAATATTATGTTCCTATTAATGTAATTGTTGCATTTGATAAATTTATGTCACCTCAACAAGACCATTATACTAGTGCTTTGAAAAAAAGAAAAAAGAAACTCAACTGCTTTCTAGAATACTTTTTCTTTGTCTCGACTTCTGTTGGTATCTTAAGCTCTAAGCAAAATTAACGTATACAACTGTAAAGATAAATCAAAGTACAATTGCTTAGTTAACAACTAAATATTTCACATGCTTTTAGAGACGAGATGTGTTGGGCAAATTGTTGTCAAACGGTCTTCTAGACTATGATGTTATTTAGTTAAATTCCCTGTCAGTTTTGACAAATGACTGAATGGAAATATAACATTACAATTGAAATGGTCTGACCCGAAAGTTAATCGGGCCATTTGAAGTAATCTAAATATTTTTGTATTGTTCATGGTCCAACTCACTTGCTTGGATGGCCAAAAGAAGAGATGTTCACTTGGCAGCCCATTTATCTATTGATTGGGTCTTTCTTGACCCGTTAATTACCCTATTGTGACTTACCTTATTTGGTCTCATAAGGTTAATATATTGGATCTCCTCTCCATTCTCTTGTCTTGGCATCCAACCGTGCGTCTCTCTTTTATTAGAAAAGTCGATCTCTGCTTCTCTGCCCTGTCTCTCTTAAAGAAAAGAAAAATCGGTCTCTGCTTCTCTGCACATAACAACATTAATCGGAAAAATAAATACATTGTTAGCTTACAGTTATGAATTTGCTTTTAACCAAAAAAAAAAAAAAAAAAAAAAAAAGAATTTTATAAAAAAAAAAAAAAAAAAAAAAAAAAGAGCATCAGAAAAGTCTGAAAATGCCTTAATAGCGGGCCCCATTTTGGTGGATTAATTAAATCTTTAATTTTTTATGTTTTATTTTTTAAAATTAAATACCAACCCTGATAATGCACGTTTCATCATACCAATAAAAAAGAAAAAAGAAAATACATCGCCAGTGTTATGTGCACTTAAGAATTTGTGATCAAATATTTTAATATTCTTGACTTTCTACGTTAAACTCGTTTTCAGATTTTCTTGAACCATCACGCTTGCAAAGAATAACTGAAATCTTTAAATTCATAAGCCTTAACAATTTCCTGAACGATGTCTGAAAATCAAAAGAGTCTTTTTTCAAGGCCCTCACTGTACAAAATTAAATATCAATTTTGTTGAAATCAAAGAAGAAGACGAAAGGCGGAGGAACAACTTTAATAGAAAAAATACATTCTCCCTCCGTCCCAATTATATAAACTGGATTTCATTTTTCTTTTGTCTCAAATATATAGCCTTATTTCCCAATTTAGAATATTTTATTTTGTTCCTTTACCAATATACCCTTATTCAATTTTTCTCACTTAATATGCTAATTTTTTGAAATCATCGAAATACACATATTTCCCACTTCTTAAAAATATGAAACAACTCTTATTTCTTCTTCTTCAAATTAAAATATTCAAATTCTTTACTAATTCCAAAAATAATTTACTACTACATATTGAAAATCAAATAGGGGTAAACTATGAAAGATCTCGATAAAAATTAATTTCCCAATAACATTAAAGTGTTGGGAATCTACTTATACATGCACAGCGGAATTTAAAATAATTTTCGATTCCCACCAAGAATCGCCTTTGTGTTTAGATAGAAATTGTGATAAGATTGTACCTTTTTCCAGATCTGCGATCTTTTTGCTTTTCTTTTCGTTCCACAATTTTGATTCGCCACCACAGCTGTCCAATTGTCTAGCCTCCAACGGTGATCCACACAGAGAATATGATTGCAGCCTCTAGGGTTTTCTCTTGTGCCAGCAAGAATAATGAAAACCTTAATGGACCTCAAACCCTAGTTATGTATTTATATAAACCCAAACAGGCTCGGTCCGGTCCGGTCCAATAATTAATTAATCTAATTAATTAAACCCGGTCCGTGAATTAATTAATCCAATTAATTAATTAGAAAATATAAATAACAAATCCAATT